ATTTCAAGGGATTTTTTTTTCAAGGACCAAAACAAGGCGTGTATCTATTTCAAAGGAATTTTTTTCAAGGGCCAAAACAAGGCGTGGATCGATTTCAAAGGAATATTTTTTCAAGGACCAAAACAAGGCGTTGATCGATTTCAAGGGATTTTTTTCAAGGACCAAAACAAGGCGTGGCTCGATTTCAAAGGATTTTTTTTCCAACGACCAAAACAAGGCGTGGATCAATTTCAAGGGATTTTTTTTCAAGGACCATAACAAGGCGTGGATCGATTTCAAGGGATTTTTTTCAAAGACCAAAAAAAGGCGTGGATTTTTTTAAAGAATATTTTTTCAAGGACCAAAACAAGGCGTGGATTTTTTAAAGAATATTTTTTCAAGGACCAAAAAGACGGCGTGGATCAATTTCAAGGGATTTTTTTCAAGGACCAAAACAAGGCGTGGATTTTTTAAAGAACATTTTTTCAAGAACCAAAACAAGGCGTGGATCGATTTCAAGGGATTTTTTTCAAGGACCAAAACAAGGCGTGTATCTATTTCAAAGGAATTTTTTTCAAGGGCCAAAACAAGGCGTGGATCGATTTCAAGGGATTTTTTTTCAAGGGCCAAAACAAGGCGTGGATCGATTTCAAAGGAATTTTTTTCAAGGGCCAAAACAAGGCGTGGATCGATTTCAAGGGATTTTTTTCAAGGGCCAAAACAAGGCGTGGATCGATTTCAAGGACCAAAACAAGGCGTGGATCGATTTCAAGGGATTTTTTTTCAAGGGCCAAAACAAGGCGTGGCTCGTTTTCAAAGGATTTTTTTTTCCAACGACCAAAACAAGGCGTGGATCAATTTCAAGGGATTTTTTTTCAAGGACCAAAACAAGGCGTGTATCTATTTCAAAGGAATTTTTTTCAAGGGCCAAAACAAGCCGTGGATCGATTTCAAGGGATGTTTTTTCAAGGGCCAAAACAAGGCGTGGATCGATTTCAAGGGATTTTTTTCAAAGACCAAAAAAGGCGTGGATTTTTTTAAAGAATATTTTTTCAAGGACCAAAACAAGGAATGCATTTTTTTAAGACCATCCTAAACTTTATGGTCTAATGTCAAGTCAAGCTTGATATTATTCCATATCTCATCTTATTATTTATACCAATGTAAATTACACCTCTAATGATAATCTCAATTTTTATGACACCTTTTATTTGTGGGTAGGTATGAGTTTTTTGTGCCGAGCCACTTAAATCGAATCAATTCTCATGACACATTCGAATCAAATAGTTATGTAATGTCATAGGGTATACTAGGCTGCGTTTATCCATAATAATGTTTGTATGTGGAGAGGACTCAATCATAATACATTCAGAAAAAAATAGTTACAAAAAATCCAAATCCAAATCCAAATCTTGATGAATCTTGAAAAATATTTTTACAAACTCTCGCATTGATGGATACACGGTTTCATTGGAGCTGACCTTAGGTCATCCTTGAAAAAATATTCTTTAAAAAATCCACGCCTTAGGTCATCCTTGAAAAAATATTCTTTAAAAAATCCACGCCTTATGTCATCCTTGAAAAAATATTCTTTAAAAAATCCACGCCTTAGGTCATCCTTGAAAAAATATTCTTTAAAAAATCCACGCCTTAGGTCATCCTTGAAAAAATATTCTTTAAAAAATCCACGCCTTAGGTCATCCTTGAAAAAATATTCTTTAAAAAATCCACGCCTTAGGTCATCCTTGAAAAAATATTCTTTAAAAAATCCACGCCTTAGGTCATCCTTGAAAAAATATTCTTTAAAAAATCCACGCCTTAGGTCATCCTTGAAAAAATATTCTTTAAAAAATCCACGCCTTAGGTCATCCTTGAAAAAATATTCTTTAAAAAATCCACGCCTTAGGTCATCCTTGAAAAAATATTCTTTAAAAAATCCACGCCTTAGGTCATCCTTGAAAAAATATTCTTTAAAAAATCCACGCCTTAGGTCATCCTTGAAAAAATATTCTTTAAAAAATCCACGCCTTAGGTCATCCTTGAAAAAATATTCTTTAAAAAATCCACGCCTTAGGTCATCCTTGAAAAAATATTCTTTAAAAAATCCACGCCTTAGGTCATCCTTGAAAAAATATTCTTTAAAAAATCCACGCCTTAGGTCATCCTTGAAAAAATATTCTTTAAAAAATCCACGCCTTAGGTCATCCTTGAAAAAATATTCTTTAAAAAATCCACGCCTTAGGTCATCCTTGAAAAAATATTCTTTAAAAAATCCACGCCTTAGGTCATCCTTGAAAAAATATTCTTTAAAAAATCCACGCCTTAGGTCATCCTTGAAAAAATATTCTTTAAAAAATCCACGCCTTAGGTCATCCTTGAAAAAATATTCTTTAAAAAATCCACGCCTTAGGTCATCCTTGAAAAAATATTCTTTAAAAAATCCACGCCTTAGGTCATCCTTGAAAAAATATTCTTTAAAAAATCCACGCCTTAGGTCATCCTTGAAAAAATATTCTTTAAAAAATCCACGCCTTAGGAAAAAATATTCTTTAAAAAATCATCCTTGAAAAAATATTCTTTAAAAAATCCACGCCTTAGGTCATCCTTGAAAAAATATTCTTTAAAAAATCCACGCCTTAGGTCATCCTTGAAAAAATATTCTTTAAAAAATCCACGCCTTAGGTCATCCTTGAAAAAATATTCTTTAAAAAATCCACGCCTTAGGTCATCCTTGAAAAAATATTCTTTAAAAAATCCACGCCTTAGGTCATCCTTGAAAAAATATTCTTTAAAAAATCCACGCCTTAGATGACCCTTGAAAAAATATTCTTTAAAAAATCCACGCCTTAGATGACCCTTGAAAAAATATTCTTTAAAAAATCCACGCCTTAGATGACCCTTGGCCAAATATTCTTTAAAATAACCACGCCTTAGATGACCCTTGAAAAAATATTCTTCAAAAAATCCACGCCTTAGATGACCCTTGAAAAAATATTCTTTAAAAAATCCACGCCTTAGATGACCCTTGAAAAAATATTCTTTAAAAAATCCACGCCTTAGATGACCCTTGAAAAAATATTCTTTAAAAAATCCACGCCTTAGATGACCCTTGAAAAAATATTCTTTAAAAAATCCACGCCTTAGATGACCCTTGAAAAAATATTCTTTAAAAAATCCACGCCTTAGATGACCCTTGAAAAAATATTCTTTAAAAAATCCACGCCTTAGATGACCCTTGAAAAAATATTCTTAAAAAATCCAAATATTCTTTAAAAAATCCACGCCTTGTATGATGACCCATGAAAAAGTATTCATTAAATAATCCACGCCTTAGATGACCCTTGAAAAAGTATTCTTTAAATAATCCACGCCTTAGATGACCCTTGAAAAAATATTCTTTAAAAAATCCACGCCTTAGATGACCCTTGAAAAAATATTCTTTAAAAAATCCACGCCTTAGATGACCCTTGAAAAAATATTCTTTAAAAAATCCACGCCTTAGATGACCCTTGAAAAAATATTCTTTAAAAAATCCACGCCTTAGATGACCCTTGAAAAAATATTCTTTAAAAAATCCACGCCTTAGATGACCCTTGAAAAAATATTCTTTAAAAAATCCACGCCTTAGATATTCTTTAAAAAAGAAGAAGAAAATATTCTCTAAAAATCTACATCGTATGTGATCCTTGAAAAATATTTTTCGAAAAATTTAGGAAGATCCAACCTATTATGCTTTTATATTTCCGCTATCTATGACGTCATTTACAAAAAAACAGAAATCTGCAACTGAAATTTATTATGACTACCGTGCGAAGGTAAGCCCATATAAAAAGAATATTCACCTGTAAGACGAGAATAAGTAAAAAAAATTAGCACCTCTCAACCACATTTAAAAATCTATAAAATTTCAATAATTTTAACAAAGGTGAGTATTCATTTAAGTTTATAGGATAAAACAACAACAACAGCGGTAGTTTAAGTTAACAATCTGTGAATTTTGGAAAAAATATGGAAAATATATTTAAAAAATATCTGTAAGTAAGTAAAAAGTAAGGTGAAAAACAGGATCAAGAAACATTTGTGAAATACAGGATCAAGAATCATTTGAACGAGGATTGTTATTAAGGCGTGGATTTTTTGAAAAAAATATTTTTTTTCATGAACTATCAAGGCGTAGATTTTTTAAAGAATATTTTTTCAAGGACCAAAACATTTTTTAAAGAATAAAGGTGTGGATTTTTTAAAGAATAGTTTTTCAAGGACAAAGAAATGTGTGGATTTTTTAAAGAATAGTTTTTCAAGGACATAAAACATCAAGACGTGGATTTTTTAAAAAATATTTTTTTTTATAAAGTATCAACGGGTGGATTTTAAAAAAGAACTTGGATTTTCTAACGATTATTTTCACGACAAATTCTCCTACTGGGTATTATTGAACGCAAAATACTGCGTTGGGAAAAATGCATGCAGCGAAAGATCATAGGCTGATCGTTTAACGAAATTTGCTTTTATTTTCAATACGCCATCCATTCCAAGCAGAGACATTTCTCTTCTAATATTTCCAATACGACTCTTATTTGTCGCCAGAAATTAAGAGCAACAAAGAGTCATGAAAACCAACTGTCCCATAACAAACCAATTGAGAATGTTTACATTGAATCCATTGGATGTGTCTCTCTGTATGTGTGTGTAACAGCAATATTCTTCATGATTGTTGTTGTTGTGCAAAATCATCATCAACAACTAACAACGTTACAGAACGTTAGCAGCACGCTAGAATCGAGAATACCCCCGTTGTCGGATGTCGGAACGTTGTCGGTCGCCATCGACCGCATTACAAGCGAACCAAAAATTTCACGTTATAAAATCTGTTCAAAAATCACTTCCAGCCCAGTTGAGTTCCAGTATCGTTTGAGCGAATAACGACTAACAAGAAAAATTTGAAAAAAAAATATTCAAAATAAAAATTTCAAAAAATTATTTGAAATAAAAGTGCGCTAAATAAAGCTATTTACAACGAAATTTTAACATTCCGTAGATTTTTATCAACAACTAGTGAAAGTAAATATTTTTTTTATAAAAAAGTATAAATTTTAAATAAATTAATAAATTTAAAATTAAAAAAATATATATAAAAAATAAAATGTCAAAGTTTGAAAATAATATAAACCTTTTTGTACAAAGTGAACAGCTATAATTTTGAAAACTGAAATCCTTTGAATACACGAATGAAGTGAAAGGATCTCTCCTTCGTACGAATTCTTTTTAGATCCTTTGCAATGTCTAAATATCTTTCAGTAAAAAATATATGAATATATTTTAATAAGAAAAATTTTAAAAAAATACTAAAAATGCGTACATTTTGTTAAAAAATATTTTTTAGCGACCAATAGAGTGAAGATTTAAAAAAAAAATATTTTTTTTAAAGAACCAAAATTTTTTTAAGAACCAATGATGAAAAATGATTTTTCAAATGCCAAATAAAAAAAAATATGTTTCGGAGGATCACCAGTGTTTAGATTTTTTTAAATAACTAGTCAAGGACCCACTAGATTTTCTCAAAAAAAAAAATGTCTTTCAAGGCGTGCATTTGTTAAAAAATATTTTTTCCTAGAATTGTGAAGACGTTGCCTTTTTAAAAAAAATATCAAGGCGTGGATTAAAAATTTTTTCCTTCAACAAAAAAAAAAATAAATAAATAAATAAATATTTTTTTGGAAAAAATATCAAGGCGTGGATTTAAACCAGTAAGAAAAGTAGTAAAGTAGGACGGGACCGACTATATGACACCCTTCACCATTTTGGGAAAATTTAACAGATGAATCCTAACAGACGTCGCATTTTAAAGGACCAGTAAAATGAACTTGGATCCATAAACATGTCTTTCTGCAACCGATACTATTTTTTCATTTGGTCAGATATAGAAGCTATATCTAAATTAGAACCGATTTCAGGAAACTTAACACACATCATTCTAGACCTAATTCATTACATTACCCCCCCCTGTAATGAATTTTTTCACAGTAAATTTATGTTTGCAACAGCGAATTTTTTCATTTTGAACTACCGGGCCCTCCCCGAAATGAAATCCTGTGTACGTTGCTGATGGGAGCTATATCTAAATCTGAATCGATTTTTCCTAATTTCATTAGGGTTCGTCCTTGGGCCAAACAAATGAGCTGTGGACATTTTTCATCTAATTCGGATCATAAATGCGACCTGTACTTTGTTTACAATTTAACATGGACAGACGGACGGACATGCGTATATCGACTTAGAAAGTAATTCTATGCATATTTTCATAACCATGGGTCTATCTCGATTTTTGCCTGTTGCAAACAAAAGACATAAGACATGTGGTACAGTGTGGAGAAGGGTATAAAAATATCAAGGCATGGATTAAATTTTTTTTTTTTTCAAAAAATATAATTTTTTTTAAATAGTTTTTCAAGAATTAATTAAATAAAAACAATTTTTCAAAAAATTTAAAAATATTTTTTCAAGAATTATCATGACGTGTATTTTTTAAAAAAATATTTTTTTCAGAAAATATCAAGACGTGGATTTTAAAAAATATTTTTTTCATAAAATATTAAAGTGTGGATTAAAAAAAATCAAAAAAAAAAAAAACAAGACGTGGATTTAAAAAAATTCATAAAATATCAAGACGTGGATTTAAAAAAATTCATAAAATATCAAGGCGTGGATTAAAACTAAATATTTTTTCTTGAAATATGAAGGACGATTAGATGATTTTTATCAAAGGACTATTAGCTCTGGATTTTTAAGTCCATAACACCTTGGTTATTTTAAAGTATATTTTTAAGGAAAAATTTATAAAATATATATTACTTAAACATTAATTGTTAAATTAATTGTTTTTTTCCAATTTTCTTTATTTTCCAGCATGTCGAACAGAATTTTGGAAGATTCCCCCAATGCCCACATCAACAAGACCATTTTGGATCGTTACCTCAGTTTGCCGGTAAAGGAGAATATCGTTCAGGCCACCTATGTGTGGATCGATGGTACCGGTGAAGATTTGAGATGTAAAGATCGTACCTTGGATTTTATACCATCGAAGCCAAGTGGTAAGTAAACAAAAATCGCCCATATCCTCTCCCCACTCTACAATTTGAAATGAGAAGAAGAGCTAGCCAGACACAGTGTCTGAATTTTAGACAACAATGCCAATAATTGAATGACGCCGGTGGTATTGTTTTCGTTCTTCTATTTCTGTTGTTGTTGTGATCGGTTTGTTTTTTTATTTACCTTTTGGGAAATTAGATAAATAGTCGTAAATATTTGAAAGATAGCCAAGTGTTACGACGAATTGATTCATTAGGGATTGTTGATAGTTAGTTTTTTTATTATTTATCTATTTACCTTTTGTAAATAAATTAAGTGAAAAAATGCAATTATGTTCTATTTAATGTGGGGGTTCTTTTTTCTGTTAAATGAGGAAGGAAGTTTGAATGGTAATTAGTTGGAGAATATTGGTCAGGTGAACATAATATTTAATTTAAGGGAATTGAATATTATGGCAATTAGTCTCGCTATTTATTAAAAACCAAAAAATAGAATATTGTTCTTGGGGTCTCTAGAAGGATATGGAAATAAAAGGAATCGGATTTTGTGTTTAGGTCCTCTATTAATTAAAAAGTGCATATTCGTCTTGTGGGTCTAAAAATGTTTTATATTGAATCTATCCCAATACTTCCCTTTGACCTTTCAATACCTTAACGTTCATTACTTTTAAACAGTCATAAATAATTTATTATAGAATCTGTTATTCATATATAAACCTTATGTTGTTAGACAAGCTAACAGAGAAAAATCCCTCTTTTGAAAAAACAATAACAACATGTGGGATTATTTGTTTTTTTATTGAATTTCTTAGTAAAAAGAAACTTAAACAAAAACATTAGACGACCAATACAAATGGATTTCTTTTTTAAAAATCATTTTTTCCTGGAACATTATAAGAGAGAATATTTTAAAACTATTTTTGGTAGAACTATTGAAAGCTGTAAATTTGTTTTTATAATAGGACTCTATAGGGTGGATTTTATAAAGAATATTTTTCAAGGATATTTATAAATTTTATATAATTTGGATAAATAAATTGCAAACTAATTCGATAGAAAAGAAAGTTTTTGTATAGAAAAACATTATTCAGCAAATGTTTATTATAGAAAAATAAATGTTTGCAACCTATTCTGGTTGAAAAATCAGTTTTTGTATAGAAAAACCTTATTCAGCGAATTTTTATTTTAGAAAAAAAAAACAGAAAAACTCAATTAAGCTAGCTTTTCTATAGAAAAAATCAATAGAAATACAATTCAGCTAACTTTTCCTATTGAAAAACTCTATTCAGCTAACTTTTTCTAACGAAAAACACAATTCAGCTAACTTATATTATATCAAACACCAATTCAGCGAACTTTTTCATAGAAAATAGAAAATTTTCCATAGAAATTCAGCTGAAAAAAATCAATTCTGCTAACATCTTATATGGTAAAACTCAATTCAGCTAACTTTTTCGATGGTAAAACTCAAATACATGATTTTGCAAACATTCAGCTAACTTTTTCTACAAAAAACTGAAAAAATTCAGTCATGCAAACATTTTCTATAGTAAAACTTTAGTTTTGTATACAAAAACTCTATTCATCAAATTTTTTGTATGGTAAAACTAATGCAGTTTATTTGTTCTATACAAATACCTAATTCAGGAAACATTTTTCTATTGAAAAATTCAATTCAGCTAACTTTGTCTATTGAAAACTCAATTCAGCTAACTTTTTTCTATCGAAAAACTCAATTCACCAAACTTTTTTTTATATTAAACACCAATTTAGCGAACTTTTTCCATATATAAACTCAATTCAGCTGAAAAAAATCAATTCAGCTAAAATTTTCTATAGTAAAACTCAATTCAGCTAACTTTTCCGATGGTAAAACTCAATTTATATGCAAATACATGATTTTGCAAATGTTTTTCTATAGGAAAACTCTATTCAGCTAGCTTTTCCTTTTGGAAAACTCAATTCAGCTGAAAAAATTAAATTCTGCTAAATTTTCTATAGTAAACATTAATTCAGCTAACTTTTTCGATAATACTTAATTTTTTCCCAATTTTTCCTATACAAATATTTCGTTGGTAAAACTTAATATGTTATTATTTTCTATACAAGTACTGAATACAGCAACTTTTTTATAGAAAAAATAAATTCAGCAATTTTTTCTACGGAAAAATTCAATTCATCAAACTTTTCAATTCAATTCAGCTGAAAAAAAACAATTCAGCTACTTATTTGTTGGCAAAACTCGATTTCTCGTTTTTTTTTTTCTTTACAACTACCAGATTCAGCAACTTTTTTCTATAGAAAAACTAAATTCAGCTAACTATTTCTTTTGAAAAACTCAATTCAGCAAACTTTTATTATATGAAACACCAATTCAGCTAACTTTTTCTATACAAAAACTCAATTCAGCTAAAAAATCAATTCAATTACTTATTTTTGGCAAAACTTAATTTGTTGTATTTTTTTATACAAATGATTGGTTCAGCCAAATTTTTCTATAGAAAAGCTAAATTCAGCTAACTTTTTCTTTTAAAAAACTCAATTCAACAAACTTTTATACATATATATATTCAGCTAACTTTTTCTATACAAAAACTGAATTCAGTTGAAAAAAAAAATCAATTCAGCTAACATTTTCTATAGTAAAACTCAATTCAGCTAACTTTTTTGATGGCGAAAGTTAATTTGTCCCATTTTTCCTATACAAATACCTGACTCAGCAATTTTTTCTATAGAAAAACTCAATTCAGCTGAAAAAATCAATTATATTTAGAAAATTTCAATTAAGCTAAATTCTAACTAACTATTTCTATACTAATACTCAATTCAGCTAGCTTTGAATATAACAACTGTCAATTCAGTTAACTTTTTCTTTTAAAAAACTCAATTCAGCAAACTTTTATTATATGAAACGCCAATTCAGCTAACTTTTTCTATACAAAAACATAATTCATCTGAAAAAAAAAATCAATTTTATTTAGAAAATTTCAATTCAGCTAATTTCTATGAATTATTCCCTAGAAGTTGTTAATTCAGCTTACGTTTTCTACGGACAACAACAATCTAGCTATGTTTTTATTCTGAAAATTATAATACAGCTAACAGAAAAAGTCAATTCAGCAAAGTTTTTCTTTAAAATAGTCAATTTAGCCAACCGTTTTCTATAGAAAAACTAAATCCAGCTAATTTTTCCTTTTAAAAATCTCAATTCAGCAAACTTTTATTATATGAAACACTAATTCAGCTAACTTTGTCTATACAAAAACTCAATTCAGCTGAAAAAAATTCAATTATATTTAGAAAATTTCAATTCAGCTAATTTCGGTGAACGTTTTACTTATAAAATCCCAATTTTAACTAACTATTTTTATATGAATACTCATTCCGTTAGCTTTTAATATAAAAAATGTCAATTCAGCAAATTTTCTTTTAAGAAAAATCAATAATTTATATTAAAAAAAAACAAGCATTGCTAAAAATAATGAGTATTTCTTATAACCCTTTTCGCTCATTGAAAAATAACAACAGTTCGAAATTACAATAAATGCTTCACGTTACAACAACAACAGCACGAAAACCGTATCGGCTATTACTAATTCTGTAACAATAATTTTCAAACAATTACCTTTATTGAATATCAAATTAATTAAATAACGATAATATTTTTACAGTCAAACCTCTATATTATGCACCACAAAAAATGAATTTATGTGTGTGAAATCTTCTCCTTAGGAAACACACTTTATTGTGTGTGAGAATAAACACACATCTTAGGAATTCACACTTGAGAGGTTTTACTGTAGCTAAAAAACTAATGTGATAATATTTTTTTACATCTCTCATAAATATTGAATTTGCATGTGTGGATCCGATTGTTGAAAAAAAGATAACCTGTATTGAATAACAGTAGACCGATCCATCCAGTGGCCACATCCAGTAGATGTCAATCATGTCGTGGTGTAAAAATTGGCGTCTCTACCTTTTGTTTTTGTTGCTGTTGTTATTTTCGTGTGGTATCACCGATTAAAATGCGTCCTAAAAATGTTTTGCGATCTCGTAGTGCCGTTTAATAGATATGTTACACGATGATTAGATGGTAGGGGCACGACGTGTTTGACGGGTTCCACCGACTACAAAGGGAAATGAATTTTTTTATAAGTGGGACGATATGTGATGCGATTATTTTATGGCATCTAACAAATTGTTAGCAATTTGTTATTATTATAATTTTTATTGTTAAATGTAAAAGTGATTTTTATTATGGCCAATTTGTGTCATAATAATGTTAATATATCAAAAAAGAAATAATAATAAAAATTATAGCAGTTTTGGTAATAATTTTTGTAATGAAAATTGCAATAGAAAGGAATTGAAAATAAATGTCATGTGGTCTTCCACAACACAATATTCTTGCATATTGTGGAAAACAAAATTGAATGAATAAAAATAGAATAAAAAAATAGAATGACAAAAAGTAAAAATAGAAATGTCAATTCAGCTGACTTTTTTCATAGTAAAATGGCTTTTCAGCTAATCTTCTATTATACAAGAATGCAATTCAGCGAACTATTCCTATATAACTTATTAATTCAGCTTAAGTTTTCTGTGGATAAAATCTATGCTGCTAGTTTTTTCTACGGAAAAATTGCATTCAGTTAAGTTTTTGTACTGAGATAGTCAATACAGCAATTTTATTTTTCTTAAAATAGTCAATTCAGCTAACCATTACAATAGAAAATGACTTTCAGCTAACTTTATTTATACAAAAAACCCATTCAGCAAACTTTTTCTTTAGAAATACTTAATTAAGCTATGTGTTTTTATGGAAAAAGACCAATTCAGCAATGTTTTCCTATTTAAAATTTCAATTCTGCTAACATTTACAACAGAAAAAAACTCAATTCAGAAAGCTTTTTTATATTGTAAACCCCAAAAAATACTTGTACTATAGGAATAGTCAATTCAGCGAACTTTTTCTATAGAAATACTTAATTCAGCTATGT